CAATTGATGAATATTTTATAAAATATATATATATTTACAAAATAATAGCAAATTATCAATTTAAAAAAATAAACTAATAAATTAAGTAACGAAATTTAACATTCAATTACATATAAAAATACTCAAAATTATAATCAATTATTAAAAAAATTTATATATATAAAATAAATCCATTTGGCATTAAATGACATTTAATATTAAAAAAAAAAAAATTTACAAAAATTTAGTACAAAATTAAATAAATAGATAATATAAGGCTAGCCCAAGTCGCATAGGAATTCTAGCGAAAAACAAATCTAAAAAATAAATTGATTTATTTTGAATACGCTTAAGACAGTTTAAGTGTTGTATTGAATGAGGAGTCGATAATAAAAGAGCTGGCGAATTCTGAAGAAAAATCAATAAACACGTATCAATTTTTTACTAAAAAGAATAAATTCACTCAACTATTTAAAAGAAAATAAAAGCTAAATAAAACAATAATAAACCTTGGCATAGACTTTCCACATATATCTGATATATTATTTATAAACAGTATAAAGCTTAATAAAAATAACTTAATATTCTAATCGGTATGCAAAGCTATGCTAGTTCCATTTATTGAATGAAAGAGTGTGTGTGTGTGTGAATGTTGACTCACAATATTTCCGAATAATTAGTGTTTGAATCAGAAACCAATTAAAATCGCTCTCACCTGGCCAACTTTCTATGGAATACTGAAACAATTTAAAATAAACTAAGCACTAACATAACACATAACACATAACTCACAGACAGCGGAGGCAGCAAAGACATTTGGGCCACATGAGCATTTGGGCTCTTGGGCAATTTGGGCATTTTGGGGATTTTGGCCACTTGTGGCTGCTGACCAGATCGAGGCAACTTTTCATTTTCATTTTCAGTTCTTGTTGCGCTGTTTATTTTCAACGCAAACTGAACAATAAAAGTTCAGTTTATTTATGCAATGCGAATTTTTATGTGCTCGAAGCTAACTAATTTATGAGAATGTCTTCGTTTTAGCTCTCGCTGTGGCTAGCGTCGCCGACACTTTCTGGATATTTATGTCCAATTGTTTTGTTTATCTGCTCTTGTTTTTGCGGTTACGGACAATTGCGGCGCACATTAATTGGGCATTCGCTGCGGCTTATAAAATTTTAATTAGCCAATGCCTGCATTCGAATATACATATATGACCCAGTGAAGCTAGAACAAGTCTTTGAAGATTCCAATATAAATGAACCTGTTCATCTACCGAAATACATTTAAGATGCAGTATTATGGGCCAGGTAAATATATTGTTGTAGTTCAGGCACTTGCTTGACTTCCGCACACCAAATGAGATGCATTTAAATGCAATTAATTATGGCTCGCATCTTTCATTGGGCGACAGTTGGCGAGAATTATCAATAATCTAAAATAATCCCGTCTGACAGCAGCAGAAGACGTTCGCGTATTGCTTTTTGGCAGCCACTTAGAGCGTAGCCCGCGACCTGAGACATTGTCTTGCGTATTGCTGTCTCGCTTTAACGACTGCTCTTATTCAGTCACACGGGACACAAATACACGCGCACACACGCGGCTATATGCATACATATGTGTTGGGCGAGGTGTAGTCATAATTAAGCAGCTTTTAGCCTTTGCCCCTCTCTGTTCTGTGTGCCCGCAGGTACCTAAGAGCATACACCTGCCTTTGACGAATCTGAGCGCATCGCGCGTGCTGATGTGCAACGCATCTGTGGGCAGCGAGGGTTCCGTAACACTGCAACTCAGAGATGCGAATGCTTTGGAGACAGCCGCCAGCAGCACAACAACAACGACAGCAACAACAACAACTGCAGCAACAGCAGCCACATCGTCATCAGGCCAGGCCAGCCAAGCGAATGCGTCGGGACTAACGTCAGCATTAGAGAATGCGTTGACTATCGGCTATCCGGATCCGGACATGTTAGCAGATGTCTTGGGCACCATACAGACGGCCTGTAAGTGAGTTTTGTATATCCAATCTGCTTGTTGACTAAACGTTTATCTTGTATTTGCAGCTCTTAAGAACAAACAAAGCAACAACAGCATCAGCAACAGCAACAGCAACAGCAACAGCAATAGCAACTGCAACAGCAGCAAGCGAACCATCAATGGTAGCAGCAACCGCAGCAGCTGCACCACTGCCCCAACAATCTTGAACAACACGATAGGAGCGTCGAGCTCTGGCATTCGCCTGAACAGTCCCAATAGGATAACGATAACGCGACGCAGCGCCAGCAACAAGATTAGCGTGCAGACTGTGAGCGCCTCCACGAATACGACCATCAGCAGCATCGGTGGCAGCAAGACCAACTACATTAAGAACTGTCTAATACGCAGCAGCAGCTGTAGCAACACGGCCACCAATGTCACGACGCTGGCACAGATTATGAGCAACAGCAGCACCAGCAGCGCCGCCAGTTTACTCAGTCAGCACAACAACAATAGCAACTGCAGCAACAGCAGCAATTTCAGCAACGCCTCGTCCGTGGGCAGCAGCATTAGCATTAGCAGCACCACCAGCAGCAGCACCACCAGCAATCACAGCAACAGCAACAGCAACAGCAACGACAGCAACAGCAGCAGCGGCCACAGTCTAAGTTTCAAGAGCAACGGCCGACATGTTGCCAGCATAGTGACAACAGCAGCATCCACTAACACCACTGCAACTGGCATTGGCATAATCACTGTCGACCCCGCGCCCCGAAAGAGCCGACCCAAGCTATCCTCGCCCACGCGCCACGGCCCCCAACAGTGTCAGGTGTGTGTTTCTGATTCTATACTAAAGTTTAGTCATTCACTTAAAGTCACCTATGTGTGTCTATGACGAGCTGTTTTTATAATCCATACCATAGCAACAAATATTCGCATATTTTATTTATATGTATATATTTGTATTTGGTACTAGTGTATACTAAATGTATATTTTTTTTCAACAGGAAAACAAACAGCCAATTAATTATGTCCATCTCGTTAGCGAGCATTAAGCTTTTATATATTTATATTGTTTTTTCTGTTTACTCATCCTAATGCTAATATTTGTAGATCTTTAAACACAGTTATAAATCCTTTCATACTAGATGCGCCTTTGTCGAAATTTCTAAATCAAATAAACGTGCAATTTAATATCGTGCAGCATTATAACGAATCGATAATTATCGATATTATAACTTGCTTTTATGAATGTAAACCATTTCGTTGCTTCTGAAGCTATATACTTATCATTTCTGATAAATACATACTAGGCATTCTTGTCTGATATACTCATTCACTAAATCAACGAGACCATATAAACGCAAATCATTCCGCCGCTATTGAAGCAAGAGTCTTGAAATATTCAGCAAACTCGTGGATTTTCACGTTTAAAAACTGCCTAATACGGATACGCTTCTTCTGATATGTCAAAACCCCTTTCCTTTGAATGCTAGAGCCTTGGAATATGCTTACATAGGTATACTCGTGACGACCGCTCTATATCTAAATGATATTAAATTAAATATGGCTGCTATATCTAAGCCAAGCGGGTACGCTTCAAATCGATAAGGCGTTTATCTCAAAGCTTCAAATGCTGATAACTGAACTATAATGGGATTATTATTATTATTATTTTGGTGCAGTTTCTCCCACTTGTGTGATAGATCTTTATGTGTGGAATACCTTAATTAATAATTATATATCATTTTGAAGTGAGCTCAGAATATATTTCAAGTTAGATATTTGGGATTTTATAATGTAATATGATCAAAAGTAGAAGGATTTTTGATCAATAATAAGCAATCAGTTAGAAATAATTAGTAAACAATTAGTAATCTCAAGACATTTTATGATATGAGACCTAGAAGATAATTTGGTGCTTTGTATGAATCTATTAAAATGTATTATATGAATATTATTATATATAATGTTACTATCCCAGCAACCACAAATTTGTTGAGTAAAATTTCACAAAGATTCAATAGGCCTGCTTAAACTACGAGTTTTCCACTCATCTCTGGTATATGCCTAATATGAAGGAAATATTTATAATTTAATGCTCATAATCCCCGGTCTTCATCTAACATTGACATAGCTGAGAAGATTAATGGCGCTGTCAAATGAGGTCTTACTCAGGCGACGCCAGCCTCTGTCTCGATCTATTTTATGAGCACAGGCGTAATCAACGTATGTTCTATTACTCATACGCAGCGTGGCACATGAGCACTTCCAAAAAGTCCGTGCGGGCAGCCGTAACGCTTTCATTAATGTGGACGGCACTAATTACATATAATTTTCTTTTTAATAGATTTGCAGCAAGATCTTTGGAAATGCCTCGGCACTAGCCAAGCACAAACTGACGCACAGCGACGAACGGAAATACATCTGTGCGCTCTGCTCGAAGGCATTCAAGCGGCAAGATCACTTGTGAGTTAATGAAGCGCCACATTGATCCACTGAGCCACTAATCCACTGATCTGATTCTCCACTAACCCACACAGAAACGGACACATGATGACGCATCGGAACAAGAAGCCCTACGAGTGCAAGGCGGAGGGCTGTGGCAAGTCCTATTGCGATGCTCGATCCCTTCGCCGGCACTCGGAGAATCACCACGGGGGCGCGGCCACTCCCAACAACAACTCACTCTCGCCGACGACCAGCACCAACTGCGGCAACGTGAGCAGCGGCAGCAGTAGCAGCAGCAGCGTGGGCGTGGCCACCAACTCGCTCAGCCTGTCGCCGGCCACGGCGAGCGGCGATGCCAGCTCCCCGGACGGGGCCACCTGTATTCGCACCTACATTTCCACAGGCAGCACCGTGGTGGACGCAGCCACTGGCATTGCGCTCTCCGACGAGCAGATCAAGGCCATGAATCTGCCCATTAAAACTGGGGTCACACTGCTCTCGCCCACCACTTCGACATCGTCGAACGCATCGTCCACAGCCTCCTCCTCGTGCTCCACATCGGGCAGCAGCGCCAGTGGCAACGGCAACGCCAGTGGCAGCTCTAACGGGAATTCTGTGGTCGCCGGCTCACCCACAATTACGCTCAGCGATGGCACCACGCTCGAGGGCGATGGATTGACGCGCGAGCAACTGGATCTCATCAGCAAGATCATGCAGCAGACCAAGCAGACCAGCGCCCAGGTCACGGTCTCCTCCCCCACCAGCGTCAGCTCCTACAAGATCAATACGGAGACAACGCCAGTCTCCTCGCGCCCACGCACCTGGAACATGCAATTGGTAAGCATCTGCGTGGACGAGCTGAACCTGATATGAGCATGATATATTCATGATCAATTCCCACTTTCAGCTCAATAATGCACAGAATGTGACTGTAACTGTGGAGGATGGCACCGAGCTGGCTGGCTCGGCGTCAGGCTCACCCGACGAGGTCAAGGACGATGAGCTGAGCCAGCAGCTGGTGGCCGCCATTAATCCGCATCTGCTGAACATCGTCAAGATCGACAAGCCGGTCGAGTGCAATCTGTGCCATCGCAAGTTCAAGAATATACCCGCCCTCAATGGGCACATGCGCCTGCATGGCGGGTACTTCAAGAAGGATCCGGAAACGAAGCGCAGTGAGAAGAAGGACTCGAATGGGCCCCCGCTGCAGACAGCCAGCATAGGAGTGCGCGCTCTGATCGAGGAGAAAATCATCAGCAAGCGGAAGGACATAACTAAGGTAAACCAATGATAAACCCTAGAAATGCAATCAATATTAATGCCCCTCTCATAGGGCGCCTTTGTGGTGCCTGCACCACCGAGCACCTCGTGCAGCAGCGGCAGCGTTGGCGTCTGCAGCAGCAACAGCAACACGCTGCGACGCTCGATCAGTGACCTGGAGAGCTTTCTCAACCCCAAGTGCAGCAGCACCAGCCTGAGCCAGGCGCTATCCACCAGCAGCAGCACCACCACGGCGGTGCTGCCCGCAGCAACCACAATCAAGAGCAGCAACGGGCTAAGCATACAGCAGATTGGCCTGCCGCAGAGCATCGAGATCTTCAGCGGAGGTCACAGGCAGCCAAAGACTCTCAGCTTGGGCAGTGGTGCCAACACCATCACCATAACCACCAACAATGTGCCTACCACAACCACGATGAGCGCCCTGACGGCACTGAAGGGCGGCGGCACCATCAACGGCCTCTCCAGCAACGTGGACCCCAAGGACTCGACATTGATTGAGCTGCTCAAGCGGGGCACGCGCATCGCCGTCGCCTCCAAGAAGACACACATGCAGTCGCAGAACGGCACGAATCTCCTGCTGAGCAATGTGACGGGCACGGAGCTGACTACGATTGGCAGCACTCTCCAGACCACCGGGCGACAGATAATAACCAACAACAACCGCACCGTCATCATACCCTCGGATGTGCATGTGGTGTCCACCAAGAGCAAGCTCGTCTCCAGCCAGGCCATTACGGCTAGCGACAGCAGCAACATCAACAGCAGCAACAGCAGCAACAATAGCGGCAGCAGCAATGCCACGTGCTCCTCCAGCAGCATCTCGTTGCCGGACGGCACTCCGCTCTCAGTGGCCATTGCGAACAGCCAGGAGAATCTGGGAGTCAGTGAGGCCAGCAGCATTACGAGCGGAGGCGGTGTTTACACAGTGACCTACACGAGCGATGCGGATGCATCGGACCTCTTCGACGACGCGGAGGTGTACAATGTCTCGGATACGGAAATGCTGCTCCAAACGGTGGACACTATGGAACTGCTCAATGATGAGGAGGATGGGGTGAACAAGACGGAACATTCCGATGACTTTTCGCTGCTCAGCGAGGCCGGCGAGGCGGTGCACACGCAGCTGGTCAAGACGGAGCCGGGACTAACCAGCACAACGAGCAGCGTCAACAAGACGACGCCATTGCCCACCTTCCAGCAATTCCATTCCAAGGAGATCATCATGCAGAATAGCTCGCAGATTCAGGCCATCGCCAACATGCGCAACGGGAGCAATCTCGGCGTGCTCTCCTCACCCTTACATTCGCCAATAGCCTATCCGACGCCGCCGTCCAGCCACGAGAATATGGCACAGTCCTCACCCTTCATAGAGGATGCTGCGGCTCAGTTTGTGGACGCCAGTCACACGTTCTTCGGCGACAAGACAGACTTCTCGCACGTCTACTTCAAGACAGACGACGGCGACTCCCTGCAGCAGCTCACCGAGAACGACAACGAGAAGATACTCAAGCTGAAGACGGTGCTGGAGGAGAGCAGCTTCGACCCGTCCATTAAAGTGGAGGATCTGCTGAGTGGCACCGAGGATGATGCTGAGTGCGACCTGCGCGAGTTTGCCGAGACGAATCTGTCGTTCCTGGACGAGGATCAGGAGTTCCTGAATGACTCACGCAACGCCACCTCCCCGCTGTCCGAGTCCTTCTTCACCAGCGGCATTGGCTCGGCCGAGGATGTTAAGCAGGTGCTGCGCGAGGTGCTGCCCGAGGAGAATATCCAGCTGCAGCTGAGCAGCGAGCAGCAGGGCGAGAACATCATTGATCTTTACTACTTGCCCGGCCTCGGCCTGCAGTCCCAAATGATGCCCAACTCCGATGATCCGCTGCTGTCCTCATCGCCCCGCGAGTTCGGTCAGCAGCGCCAGGTGCTGCACGCAGCAACAGCAGCAACTACTACGAACGTGCAGCCCATTGAGCAATTGCAGTCGACGACTGCGCTTTACGACCAGCAGCAACAGCAACAGCAGCAGCAGCAGCAACAGCAACAGCAACAGCAACAACAACTGCAGCTGCAATTGCAAATGCAGCAGCAGCAGCAGCAGGAACAGCAACAGGATCAGCAGCAACCACAAGAGCAGCAACAGCAGCAAATGGAGAGTCAGCAGCAACAATTGCAACTGACACAGCTGCCAGCAATTCAAAGCGAGCAACAGCAACAGCAGCAGACTGATTTTGTGCTGACCAACTTCTCGCCCATGAACTGTCAAGCTCAGTATTTGGATGCCAATCAACAGCAGCAGCAGCAGCAGCAGCAGTCGATGATGTTGCAGCCCTTGAATAGCCTGCTGCAGCCGATGCTCTATGGCAACAATGGGGCTGGCAGCAACAAGTCCGCATTTAGCACGGCTCAGGCGACTGCACTGGATGCGAGCCTGCTCTTTGCCTGCGACGACTCCAAGAGCAACTGCAGCAAGCCCATGCTGCCCGCTTTGCCCGCAGCAATTCCGACCGTCGTCACTGCTGCCTCGAGTGTGGCCAATCTGCAGCCGTTGTCCAATCAAACGAATTCCATACTGAAGCGGCGCCTGCGCTCCAATGGGGCGCAGGATGTGCACAAGTTCTCGAAATTCCACACACTCTCGCCGCACCGCTCCAAGCTGCGCAAGCCGTCGCGGACCCACTACACGCCTGCCCCAATACTCAATCCGGATCGCAAGGGCACCGGACTCTACTGCAATGTGCGCAAGCAGCTCGGCCAGGGCATGTTCGATGTGTTCGACGATGACTTTGGGGATCCCGTGGGCTTGGTGGACTTCTGCGATGAGTCCAAGGTGAACCTCGGCTCCACCTATCAAGCGCAGATCCCAGCCTGCAAGGCGCCAGAGGAGTCCCTCAAAGAGCCCATGTGCGCCGACCTCATGTGGGACCCCAGCGTCCAGCTGGACGATAAGATACTGATGCGTTACATCGATCTCAGCAAGTCATCGGCCGTGCCCATGGGCAGCCATTCCGAAGAGGTGGCTCTACAGACGCTGCTCGACGCCAAGGGCAACTCGGCGGCAGCGGTGCTCGCACTACTGCAGATGCAGTCCAGCGCATTCCAGATGAAGTGGACTGCCTACGAGCTGGAGCAATTTCTACGCGGCCTCGAGAAACACGGCAAGGACTTTGGCAAAATCGCGGGCGAGGTGAGATTAACGGAAATTATTATGAAAAACAATTTTGCTCAGCTCATATCATATCATATCATATTTAGTATTAAAGTAGTCTGATATTGATATTGCGTATATCTACTCTGCTTGTTATGAAAGGTTTTGATCTTGAGGCATTAGGAAATCACAGGAAGAGATATGCAGTAAATCAACTTTTCGAGCTCTAGCTGCAAAATTTTAGAAATTGTTTGTTTTTTCCGGTTTTTCATACTCCCAAAAGGCATTTCAATATAATTTTTGGCAAATCAATAGATAATAATAATAGCTTCCTCGTTAATCCGAACAGTAAAACTGGTGAATATTACAAAATATACATAAGTATTGATACGAACACTACAAACACATCCGACAATTTTCTTTGAGTCTACGAAATTTCTATATATAGATTGAAAACCCACGAAAAATAATCTTCTAATTTGTTTGATAGAAAGGATTACCGAAATTTTAGGCTATGGGATTTAAAATTGTAAATATCTATCATTTGCTTTTTCCAACTAACTGGATAGGAACTAACGCATCATAAAATAACATGACTACAATGACTCTACTGTACGAATGAAATATCAAATTAATTATATAGATACTCGGAAACTAGATAAACCTTATTTATAGCTTTCAAAAACTTTCTATTTATTCCTGAAATGGCAAAAGATCTTTGGTCTATTCACAGTAAAGCATGAATTGTGTACAAAATCAGCTTAGAGGATCTTTAAGTCGGACAGTCCCGACTATTGCAATTTCAGTTAATATGACCATCATTCAGAGAGATTATGTACATGTCTTACAGCTTCACACAAAGACTTCTGGCGAATGCGTGCAAATGTATTACTTTTGGAAGAAACTCTGTGTGGATTACAAGGTGTCGCATTTGAAAATGGAGCCAGTTCCTGCGACCGTTCCGACGGTAGAGCAGAAGCCCTACGTATGCGAGATTGCCGACTGCTCGGCGGTAAGTAGTGTTCAGAGAGTGGGTAGACCTGTTCAGGTCACGCTGTGCCATCCCGATTCCCTGTTGCGCTATTTAGTACCCACATACACACGTGTCTACCAAATACCCCCACAACTCACTCCGGTTCATTTTTACTTTCTTTCTTGTACATAATGCCGCTTTCTCTGCGTTCCATGACCAAAATGTAGAGCTTCAGTTCTAAGGCGGCGCTGCATGGTCATGTTCGCATACACGCTTACGGTAGAAATGCCAGCAACAATAATAGCAACAACAACAGCAACAACAACAGCCACAACAACAGCAATAGCAACAACAACCAGCATGCCACGGCAACTAGTGCCAACARCAACCATAATTCCAGCAACAACAACAACACCAATAGCAGCAACGCATGCACTCCCCTGACTAGCAGCAGTCAACAGACTAGCAACAATGCAACAACAACCATAACGCACACTAATGGCCATAACAGCACCACCGCGAACAACAACAACAATATGAACAACAACAGCAACAGCATCGCTGGCATTTCCACAAACCCAACGATGCTCTCAGTGGCAAGCACAGCATTAGCAACAGCTGCAGCATCAGCCGCAACAGCAGCTGTTGCCGGCGCAGCAACAGCAACGGCATCGACAGCAATGAAAGACAGTAGCAACGGCAACAATTCCAATATGCCCAAGGACAGTGAATTTCCCTGCAAGGTGTGCGGCAAGTAAGATTCCCCCAAGAAACTATCCAACAACAATTCGTAAAATACTAAAAAAAATACCAAATTGTCAAGCTCATAAGAGAATCTTAAAATTTATTGAGAATTTTGAATTTCGCAAGCATATTGAGCGATTTGAGTGCCCGTATTGAGTTAAGACCGTAAAGCACGCTATATCGTAACCGTACCGTAACTTTCGTCTCAAAAGATATTCATTCGATTGAGTGCGAAGTCTGGCTTGTTTCTAGCTAGAATTTATTCTGTTCATTTCTCATTTTAACATTTTGAACGTCATTTTGTTTTCTATTCGAATATGATTTTCAATAATTTTCTGCTGTTCTTCACATTTTTTCGTACCTATTTCTGCCTACTCGATTTGCTTTGTAGACTCTTTTATAGTTGAGTTTCGTGTATACAAGTCTTATTTTTGTGGCGTTTAGTTTAGCGTTCAATCATTAAGCGATAATAATTGTTGTTATTGTTGTTGTATTGTATTTTGTTGTTCCATGATGCCAAAACCAAACCAAAACGAATAAAATATATATACAATATATATTGAAATCGAAACCATCAAATCAATAAATGATCCAATAAATTGCAATTTTAAAGCGAAGAGTCACAACTCGCAAATAGGCGTTACTGAAATCAGCTCCTCACAGACTCTCAGCCAAGGGGTCAACTCGAGCCGGCCGATCTCTGGGTAAGTAAGTGAATTTGGCTTATCATTTTCCGTTTTCACTTTGCGTTTCATTCATTTGATTTGTTTTCTGTCTCGAACCTCTTTGTTCTCTGATTTTAATGTACTAACCTCAATTGGTTATGATACTACTCGAAATGTAGCGCGCTATGTGCCCTTTGCATTTCATCTATTGTACATACATATAACTCGAATGCCCCATTTACCGTTTCTGGGGCAATTCGTTCATCGACTTTTTAAACAATTTCTAAATGTGAAAATCTTTCATAATATGACGGAGCTTGCTTTATGCGTGATCCTGAACCCGATCCTGATCCCGGTCCTGGTCCTCAGCAACCAATTGGCTAACGAATTGATCGAAATTCAAACCGTTTAGAGATCACAACTGAAGAATCGCCGCAATCGTCTACATTATTCAATAACATTTCAGCGCACATTTCTTTTCAACTTTTCGTTCTCTTACAACAACAACTGTATTTATTAATTTTTCTGTTTTACGTTCGAACAACTACCAAGCAAAACTCTGTACTCTCCATAGTAACTAATAACAACAAAGCAATTTATCTACACACAAGGCTAAGTAACTTTCAAAACAAAAGAAATGAAAAAACTAAAAAACAAAAATTGATCGATCTTTGCATGAATCACCGCAATATCTATATGCATAATTATAAATATATATATACCTATTTATGTGTGCATGTCGCTTAGATACCAACTACTTATACTCTGCTATATCTGTGCTCAATTCTCCATCTAAATGTTTTAATAGCCTGTACGAAAAGTATGCATTTTAGTTAGTTGGATCCTGTTCACATCGGACTCTAATGAAAACGCACTTTCTTTTCTCTCTCTCTCTCTCACTCTGCCAGAGTCTTCAATAAGGTGAAGAGCCGCAGCGCCCATATGAAAACGCATCGAGTACAAGAAGCGGAACAACTATCCAATTCCAAACAGCAATCATCCACACTTGTTGTTGCTGTCGCCACAACAGCAGCATCCGCAGCAGCAGCAGCAACATCCGCAGCAGCAACAGCAATGGCCACAGCAACATCCTAGACTAACTATGGACAGCCAGCCACAGGAAGGCCTCAGCATCGATTGACAATCGCGTTAAGCAAGCAGCAAGCATTGTTTACAACTTTTAGAATATAATTAAATTAATCGATACTCGATCGGATGGATCCGAGTTCAATGTGTATAGTTAAGTAAATGAATATCGTAATTTCGATGTATTCAAAAGTTAAAGGCATTTTTCTCATTTTCACGCTCTCTTCCTATCTAACTACCTACCCAACAATCTATCTATCTATCTATAAATCTAACTATCTTTCTATCTAGCTGACTACAACACACAAATCAGAGTCTTAGTTTAATTTGTATATACATACATATATAAATATATAAATATTTATATAACTAATATTGAAGCAAGTTCAAATTGAATTGTTATTAACTATTACTGTAGGCAAATGCAATATTTGTGTTACAAACAACAAAACTTTACTATACCTACCGTATTTTTATAGTAGGCGTTTTTCTCTCGACTCTCGACTCTCGACTCGACTCTAGTTTTAAATTCTAAGCCTAAATCAATCACGTTGAGTAAATCTAGTAGCGCGTACGTAACTGTTAACTAAATGTTTTTCTACTTAACAACTAGTTGCATCCCATTTCACAGTTACTTTACGATACATGTTTAGTCCGTAAGAGCTCCGATATATGTCGATGAGCATATATACCGATATATATATACATATATGAATCACTAACACTACAAATGATTGTTGTTTTAGGTTATAAGCTACCGTTCAAACAAATTTCAAGCGTTTAAACTTAATCTTTTATTGTACTTACACACCTAGAAACTATTGTAGAACATTTTGCTGCATCAGAGGCGAAAGCAAAAGCAAATGAAAAATCTAGTGAAATCAAGTGATATTGAGTGAGATCAAAAACGATTTTAGCTAAAGAGAAATAAACAAAGTGAAACTCAAATTGAAACATTTTAACTTTTAACAAGAAGCTGTATATAGAAACTACACGGTACATGCATATAAGTAGATAAATATATATATACATATTGTAAATATATACTGAATTCTAAAATTAAGTATTTAAATAGTAAATATTACTATTATTATTATTTAAATGTTTCTCCAAAAATGAATAAAAGACATAATGTTTATTAAACCAATCAAACACACACACGAACATACACAGACAAACTAACACACACACGAACACTCATTCACCTCGAGGCAAAAAACTTAAAGTTGTTTTCGTTTAGCCCCAGAGAATAACAATACATATATATATTAGCATACATATAACGTTTTAATAGATATATAATAGTAATTAATAATATGTGTATGTATGTATATGTATATGTACATGGTACAAACAGTAAATCTGCCATTAAAATGAACAACAACAGCAACAACAACAAGAATCACACGTTTTCCATTTGGAGAGTGAGCGAATGTACTACAACAAATAGATCAATTGAGTGTACGCAATAAATGTTTACGAGGCCAGTGGTATATTATGACGTAAATAAGTATAATATATATACTATATATGTATAATGTAATCTAATTTAACTGTAATTAAAAACCCAAATGTATTTAGAGCTACAACAACTCAATACCCACACACACACATACACACACACACAAACACGGCCAAGCAAAGAAAAAACTTGTAGCAATTTTTAAGGTTGTAATTTGCTTATTGTCTACATCAGCTACGATTAGTGTAAATAAGTATTAAAAATAATTAATCCAGTCCTGAACTTCAATACTCAAACGAACGCGACTGCAGGATGTGGGATATAGTTATAGGATAATGCAATATTTATAGAGGCGCCGATCCGGTGCCGAAATAATGTTTTGCTGCCTGCGCTGTAAAAGTTGAATCCTTCTTTTCTTTTCCTACAAATAGATGGCATACGCATAGCCCTTAGTTATATATCGTTCGTTAGAGATTTCTGAGTGTATAAGTACGCATTGCTAGTAGACACATTTATTCAATATTTAGCCAAATAGTTGCATAAGTAGAAACTTGTAAGCGACAGCTAAAGCAAACCCACCACAAAGTATCTTCAAACAGTTTGTTGTGGGCCTCGGAAGCCGCTTAAAGACTCTTCTCAGCCAGTTACACTATTTTTATACATACATACAATATATGTATATATATGTTAGCAAAGCAAAGCAATCTTGTATACACAGACAAACAATAGAAAATCTAATTTCAGCTGATCAACTTTTGTTGTATGCATTTTCTTAACAGATTCAACACTCGACTCAGTTTCCCTTTCGTTTTCCACATAATACTTTTTATGTTCGCATGGAAGAATGAGAAAATATTTAAAGTATATGCCTTCAAAGCTTAGATCTTAAGTCTTCAATCGTATGCTTATACAAAAGGAATATACCATAAATAACAAATATGAACTTTAGCTGTATTATTTAGGTAACATTAGACATGTAATCGGTACTTTGTTGCTTTATCAAAAAAAAGTTTCCTACAGATTAAAAAAAAAAAAAAAAAAAAAAAAAAAAAAAAAAAAAAAAATGAAGACAAAAGCCATATTTCAAATAAGAAACGAGTTGAATAATAATAATATTAAGCTAGGCTGTAATTTCTATGTCGAAGTGGCGAATTTATCTCTCGATTACTTATTGTTTCATCATCGATCATAAACATATATTATTTAGTTGTATGTTTCACCTTTTTGCACTTTCTATTGATTAAATTTGTTATTTCAATGTGATTTGGGTGCATTTTTATTTTTTAATTACTCGAAACGCAAACAAAGTAGATATGACAATCTGTGAAATGTATTCTCTGCTATATTCACTTTCTTTTTATTTTGAAAAAAAAAAACACAAAAATATATATATAAATACAAAGCAAAGCAAACCAAAAACTGCAATCTCAGCGGCGCCAGCAGCACTTTTTTCGAATACTCTGCGTTGTGATTGTTCATTAAGTGTATAAGAATGTATAATAACTATTTATGCAGTACACAGATATCCATATTCGATTACTGTGTATATGTCAACTATATAAGATCTGTATATAGACATCATGGATCTGCACGTCACAGACTTATTTTTAGCTCAACAACTCAACAACTCGAAAGCTCAAACTCAACAAGTGAATAAACAATATGAAACTCGGATTAGTTAAGATTCAAGTCTACTAATTGAGAAGTGTGTGTATAACAACTATACGACACTACTTACATATGTACAGATATCAATTTATAACAATAATTTTACTATACAAATTACATGCATGACGCAAAGCTTCTTATATGGAGTTTACCATAGGCGCAGGTATCTAAAAACCAGGAAAAAAAATGAAAACTTTGAAAAAATCTTTCTTTATTGATAAACGATTGATAATAGCTCTTAGACATATCAATTTAATTTAAACTACAAACAAAATAAAATAAAAACATAAGTGAAACATTCAATATATATATACAAATATATATATAGAAAACAGACACAGATAAGATTATGTACATTTCTATGGATGTATTCCTGTTTAGCTCATAAGTCAAATAGAAAAGTTTTAGGCTAAATGCCAGGAATGCAAATATATAGAATATATATATAAAACTTCATGGGGCAAACGAGAAAATGGGCTTGACGATGATCCATGAATAATCGAGTAGCATTCAGAGGATATAGCCAAAAACATTCGCCCAAAACTTGGACAACTCAGCCATATTAACATAAAAAGTAATATTTATATTCATTTTTAGTTCAAGTCGAAAATTTTCCTAACAAAAAAAGAAATGTTTGTCAGTTTTCTATTCTTTCTCAGAACAACTTTAGTTAACTTTTTATTTATTATGAGTTTGCCTCAACCTCAACCCTATATGCGTTTGCTCGTAAACACTTTAAACGATTACGCTTAAGGCGGAAAAAGTTGGGTAGAGTCATAGCTCCAGCTCATTGCCGAGGATTGCCGATCCAATCCAAAAATATTATAAAATACAAAGACAAAGATGAAGTAACCATATACATATATATAAGTAAACAAAGAACTCTCAGACGTAAGTTTTAACTGTAATATGCAGAAATCTTTTATAAAAGAAAAATAAACTGTTACTTTATGGCATTAGCTTAAATGCTATAATAACCTCTTGTTGAACTTAAATTGTACTTAGCATGTAAATTCTCTGAAACGCAGACATACACACATTCTTTCACACACACACATATATATATTTATATATATGTATATATATATATACTAATATGCGATATTATTGAGATGGTAAGAAATATTTTATGGTACATGCATATGGCATACATCATATGGATGGGTACAAATGCATGAATGTAAACATACATAAATGTTTTCATGGTTGTAACTGATGATCAAAATAGGTGTAAATTGAAATTGAAATTGAAACTGAAAACAAAATCGAAGTTGAAATTGAAATTGAAATGAATGGCAAACGAATTTTACGTACGTGCTATCATTTAAAATATGTATGTAAAACTGCTTTAACTATGCTTTACAATTTTTACAAATGTAAATGTTTTTTGTCATATAACTTATGCATTTTTTTCAACGAATCTAAATCGAGAACCGATCCGAATCGAAATCGATATCGAAAACGAAAACGTAAACGATATAGCTTTTTAGTTACTGAACACGTATTTGAATACGATATTTTATTGTTTCTTATACACATGCTAACAATATTCTTTACTATATTATTAAATTCGATGTCAAATTGAATAACGTAAAGATATTTGAGAATCATGAATATTCCCTCCAAAAATAATTTTTAAAATTATGTATTTTGCTAAGTGGTCGGTCACAAATCGTTCGACTATGGCTGCATCTCTGATAATTATAATGGAACGACAAGTTTTTAGCATATTGAAGCATATTGTATTTAGCTGATGTTACCAGTTATATTTAACATTAACATTAAAATACTTATGATTATTATGATTATTGTGTATTGTATGTGTATGTGTAACGTACAATGTTGTGTACATGTAAACTTCTTGAAAAAAAAAAAAAAACAAAGCTCACATAAAAAAACGATAAAAAAAACAAAAACAAAAAAAAGAAACAAAAAAAAACTTTAAAAAACGTGTGGCTCTTGCCATTAAATTGTAGTCAATTCTTCGAATGTATTAGACTAAGTGAGAAAACAAAATGAATATAAGAAACGTATGCATTACATTGCAAGCAAGTTGTACCGAAAATGATGATGATATATGGACACTATTTTCTAAAAATATTACAACAATAATTTATTGATTTGTTGGCGATTTTATAAATACATACAAACATATGTATACACGTACATACATATTATACAGTTACTTT